TCCAAGGACTGGGAGGCACAAAACAGCAGGTGTTGCTGGGAAGCTCTCAGTAAGCAGTTCATTATATCTGAATTGGGAACTCAGGCAGGACCTTGAGTTCTAAGACTTCCTGTCTCCTCCCTGAAGCCTGCAGCAGCGCCTGGCCCCATCATGCTCCCCACCTCTGAAATCTTGTGCTAGTCTTTTGCAATCAGACATTTCTCTACTGTTATCTTTTTCTGGTGTGAAGGTTTCGTTTCCCAGTGTGGGACTGCATGCTCCTCCCACCCATTGTGTTACATGGATGACTCACCAGTTCTCAATGGGCATGCTGTCTGTGACTAGCTCTGACAGGCTGCTAGTCACACCTGTCTGAGAGGCTTCTGCCTCTCAGCACAGAATAGTGCTGACTCAGGGCCAGTGCACAGGTGGACTTTCCCCTCTTCCAGGAGGGGAAGCTCACAGTGAGTGCCCAGTGACCCACCACCTCGTGGTTTTCACACCCTTGTGTTATTTCCTCTCATAGTGTATCAGGATTGTTTTGTATGATCAACAAAATAGAGCAGAAGTGATGAAATATGCCTCTGACACCAGCTCAATAAAGACATGATTTTTGCCTTAGTCTTCTTGGACCTCTCACTCTGGAGGAAGCCAGATGCCATGTTGTGAGGACCCTGAGGCAGTCCTATTAAAAGCTCATGTGGTGAGGAACTGAGGCCTCCCGCCAGACCTGTTTGAGGAGCCATCCTGGGGTGGGGATCAGGGGTCCCTTCAGCTCTGGCAGTCCCATTCAATATCTTGCTCACCTCAGGAGGGACCATGAGCTGGAACCACTCAGTTTAGCTGTTTCCAATGCCTGACTCTTACATGCTGAGAGAGATGACCCATGTTTGTTGTTTAAGCTTCAAAGTTGAAGGGTAATGTTACATAGCCATGGGTAACTAACACAAATACTTGACAATGCCTAGTGGCTTTTCCTGTGTCTGAGAAGACATCTTGGCTGGGGTTTTGCCTCCTTGGACAGGCAAAATATCAGGGCTCCCAAAAGGATACACCCACTTACCATGTTCCTTTTCTCATTTCTCCTGCCTCCCCAGATACTTACCTTGTAGAGATGGATAACCCAACAGCTGATGCAGAAGGAAACCTCATGGGAATTTCCCTTGTCAGACCAGCGCAGAGCTTTAGGAGAATCAGTGGCCACTATCCCTGATACTCCCCCAGCCCCACATGGGGAAGGTCTCCAGTCAGGGAGGTATTGACCTTGGGCATCTGGACATTCCCCCCAAAATTGTGTAGACTAGCCTCATGAGAACCTTCCATCTTTTGAAGTCATAACTCCTCCCCTGGCCCCTTTTGTTAAATGATATATAAATCTCTACCTCTGGTTATTCAGTGAATTATTGACTTCTTAGGGCCCCCTCACTCTCTGTGCACAAATCTTGTCTTTTCTCCTCTTAATCTATTTTCAATTATTACACTGACCCCCACCACCATCCTGAAAACCTAAGTTGATAGAAGGAAAGATTTTCCTTTCAACACGCTGAAAGAATTCCCCAGGGGCTACCAAGTGGGGAGTTGTGGAACCCTTTGCACTGAGTTTTCTCTGGTTCAATAGACTGTCCCAAAGAACAACCACATCTATAAGGGAGGTACCCCAGGGATTCACCCCCCCTCAGCCCCCTAATCCCCCCTGAACATGGCCAGGGATCCACAGAAACACAGATTCTGAACCTTAGGTCCTAGTAGAGGCAACCCCTGACTTACCAACGCATACGTCTCCTGCTCCAGCAGGATTCCTTTCTGGTTTGGCTTATTTAACAAATACTTAAGTGCTTGCTATATGCCGGGTTCTATTTTAAGTACTTTACAAATATTAAGTCATGTAATTCTAATAACAACCCTATGAGGTAAATGGCATTAGTGTCTTCATTTTACAGATAAAGAGCCTAAGGCACAGAGAGGTTGAGCAATTTGCCCAAGGTCACATAGTGATGAGTAGCATTCATTTTCAGGAGTGCTGGCGCCACACTCTGCCCTGAGATGAGAATTGACCCACAGTGAATTCTGTGCCCCTGAGGAGCTATTTCTTGGCCAGGATGCCTGGGGCTGGACAGGGTTATGTATTTTGGTTCCGGTTACAGGGAATCCAGAGGTCCACATCTAAGCAGCCATTGCCTCATGAGCAAGCCTGCTGAGATCCTAACTAGTGAGAACCACAGAGGACTTAGGGTGGGGAGGAGGGGAGGCCTGGGGAGATGGGAGTGGTTCCTTTTCCAAGGCCAATCTCTGTACTCAGCCTTGATTGTGCCTGAGTCCTGCCTGGCAAAGGAAGGTTTCCTCGCTGATCATTCCTACCTTCACACCTTAACTCAGCCAGCTACCTCTACACCTGCTCAGAACCATGGTTCTCAGCCAAGGGTGATTTTGCGTCCCCTGGAACATATGGCAATGCCTAGAGACATTTGGACATTTACCTGAAATAAGGATTTGAGGTACTGACAAGTGTAGTTGACATTATTTTGTATCAGACTGTACTAGGTCCTTCACATACTTTATCTTAGTATTACATATCTTATTTATATGGCAGTTCTCATAAGCAAGCCTTAGATGCCATTCTTATTCCAATTTCACATACTGGGAAACTGAGGTTTAAAGGTTAAAGTAACTCACCCAAGATCACACAGTTAAAAAGTGACAGGGTCAGGTTTCTAACCTAATCTGGCAGTCTGACCCTGGAGGCTGACATACATACCCAGGAGAACAGATGGTAAGTTCCCAGCTCGGGTGCCTGCGTTGGGCCTGAGGTTAGGGGCTCCAGTTTTCCAGAGACAGAGGGCTCAGCACCAGTCATTGCTGCAGCTGAGACCCCGGGTTAGGCAGAGAGCTGCTTGACCTGCCCTGGTCTTAAAGAGGACGAGAAACAGTAGAGGGAAGGGAGAGGAGGGTTTGCTTTTTGAACAGTTAAGACAGAAAGGGTCTGGTACAAAGAGATGGAGGAGGGAGGGAGGCTTAGGAGCTTTTTATTTATTAGAGCAGGGCAAAGAGAAGTTTGTTTCTCAACCATAATTGCCCGCTTTTGATCTTGTACATATCAGATATAAATGAGTCACTTAGGCTTCAGAAACTAATGACTGTCCTAATTATTGTCTTTAGTGACCTTCTAACAGTAGTAATTTTCATCACATCCTGCAAAGAAGCTGTGTCAGGGTTTGACCAGGTTTGGGGAAGAGGAGGGACAGAAGTGGGGTGAGTTCCCACGTCATCAGTCTTGGTTTGCTCAGTTTGCAGGGAGGAAATCGGCCTCAGCTCTTAAGACCAGAGAACAGTTAGAAGAGCCCTCAAAGACCTCAACTTCGGGGCTTTGCTTCTGCCTTCAGGGCCCTGTGGATTCCTGCTCCCACTGCAAGGGGCTGGTCCCTCAGAGACTGCAGGGTCATCCAAAAGCTGGGGGGCATTTGGTGCAAGGTTAACATCCAACTCTTTCCATTCACGTTCTGAAGAGCTTTGAAGTTTCCTTTGTGTGTGTGTGTTTATAGCCCTGATCCTACTGTACTGGAATTACCCTGCAGCCCTGCCCCATCCCTGGGGATTTATTCCCTAACTACAAAAATCTTAGAAAAATACTGTAAGCTCCACCCACCATCCCCAAGCTTTTTCCTTGGGCAAAAATACAAAGGAGACTTCAGAACCCCTACCAGGAGACAGTCTCCATTTGTTTATAGTTTCTCTGGAGACATTCTGATGAACTCTAGAATGGAATCTGAGAGCAGGAGCTTTCAAGTCATATGTGCTGGCGGCTGTGGCTATCACTATAAAGGAAGGGATGGCTCAAGGAGGTGGCCCCCGAAGGGCTCCCAAGTCAAGGGCCAGGTCTATGGTAACAAAAGGGGGCGTGGTGAGCAGAGAAAAGGCAGGTGGATTCAGCCTTTGCAGTCATGCCCAGTGAGCAAATCATTATGTGTTGCACAGCCAAACATCACAGAACTATCTCAGGGATCTTTGGTTTTCTGAGTTTCACAAAAGGGTCTCTGCCATCCTGTTGCTTACGTCTGGGGTGGAGGAGAAGAGAATTAAGAAGGGGAGGGCAAGGAAGAGACAGGGGGAAACAGGAGACAGGAAGATTAGGAGGAGGGTAGCCACTACTGTGACTCCCGGAAGCCAGGGAGGGAGGGAGGTGATCGCAAAGAGGGTGCTAGGATTTACTTAGCGTTTCGGAGTGAAGACTGAGCAATCGTGCCACCCTGTGGTTATAAGCGGGGATTACAACCAGAGAGAAAGCCTGCGCTCAGGCGCGCGCCCTCTCGCCCTCTCGCCCTCTCCACCTGTCTCTCTTCCTCTCGCCGCCCTCCGCTTTCCCCAACCTCTCCACTTCTGTTTTTCGCGGTAATATTCCTATATACACGGTTCTAGAACGGCACTGTTCCCAAAACAGTAGCCTCCAGCCACATATGGCTATTTACACTTAGATGTAAAGTAATTGAAATTTGGAAATGTAAGACTCAGTTTCGCAGTGAAGCCAGCCACATTTCAAGTGCTCAGAAACCGCATGTAACCAGTGACTACTTCACTGGGGAGCCCCGAAGAAGAGTATTTCCACACTTATAGAAAGTTGCATTGAATATTGTTGTAGAAAATTCAGAGTTGTTATTTTCGGAAATGCTATAAAAATTCAGAAGAAATATAGTTTAGAGCTTGATTTCTACCTTAAGAGTAGCAATTGATTAAGGATTTAAGGAGCGATTTTCCTTGTTCTGTTGGAGAGGGCTTCAGCAATTACTTGGGGCAGTGCTGCCTTTTGGAAAGAACAGTGGAACTCTGGGAATCAGATAGATGAGGCTTTCAGCCCAAGCTCTGCCACAGGCTTCTCTGGGGCTGTTTCCTCATTAGTCAAATGATTCCTCTAGATTTTCCAGTTCTACCAGGCTAGGATCTGCAAGGTTTTGACAAGAGCGGGTGTCACACTAGGAAGGAGGCATAGAATCAACAAACCCATGGCCTGTGCCAGCCCATGGTGTCTGCAACTGCAGGGGCACAGGTTGGCAGTGCCTATCTCCACCCCAACTGGTTTACAAAACCACTTCAACACCAAACTCTTTACTTTTTCCACATACCTCTCAGGGTAAGCCCATGTTTGGCCAGTGAAATATCTGCCATTCTGCATTTGATTGAACACTAACTGTAAGACTCATTTACTTACTCAACAAATATTTTTTGTGTTCTTGTTATTTGCAGGCACTGTCCTGAGACCTGGCAGTCAATAAAAATGACCCCATTCATGCACTTCCTATGAAGAGAAAGATGTAAGGCACATAAATAATTAATGTAATGGGAAGTGCAACAAGGGGAAATCAAGTTAGGGAATCCTAAGCTATTTCAGATAGGGTAATTGACAGGCACAACTTTTATAAAGCAGGTGACATTTGGGCAGAGTCCTGAACGAGGTGAGGGGTTAGGCCATGTGGATATCTGAGGACGCGAAGACCCAAGGCCGATTTGTGGGTCTTCTGGGTTGTGGCAGCTGTAAGACCTGCCACACAGAGGTAATGTAGGGTCTGTGAGTAGATCCCACAGCTTTCTCTGGGAAACCTCATTGTTAGAATCCAAAGATTTCATTAACCCAAGTAATAATCAGGCTGTAGTATAATTAGGAAAACCTTTATTGGAAAATAGAAGTCACAGTTTGGGTCCACAACCAAGGGACAGTCTCAAGATGTGTACCAACAGGGCCAGATTAAGGGCACAGGGGAGTGTTTACAGGATCAAGCAGGGAAGTGATCTGAGTTTAGGTTATTTGGTTTTTGGTTTATTCTTATTCTTTATTTTTTGCTGCTGTTGTTCGTTTAAAAGAAGGAAGAGGAGGAGGCTGCTTGACAGGATGAACAGGGAGGAGTGGCTGTCATCTCTGGCTTGATTTCCAGCTGGCTGAAGGTCTTGCTACCCCAGCCCCCCTCACCCTTGGCAGGAGGATCATGGCCCACAGGTGCATCTTCACCACCTTGGGCCTCTCCCTTGGGGTGGGCCTCCCTTCTCCTTGGCTGTGTGCAAGCCTCCAGGCTAGAAGGGTGCTCCGAGGAGACCCAAGTTCAGCTGCCCTGCTGTAATGGCGGGAATGGGCACAGTGCAGGTTTTCTATGGTTCTATGCAGACGAAGTAAAGGAGGAGAGAATCCTGGAGCCCTCGGTGGCTTTTCAGGCTTTTATTGGGATTTACCAGGTACACGGCAGGCAGGGGTGCTGGCAGGCCCCCCAGCCTCCAGCAAGTCTTCACTCTCTCTGGGTTCTCCGGCCTTCTCACGTGTTCTCTCTGCTTCTCTTTCGCTCTTGTGGTTCTTTATGCTTCTCTGCTTTTACCGGTGTCCCCGTGACGGCGCCCTTAAAAGCCCAGTCTCAGCCCAGGTGAATCCCATCTACCTATGCCCACACCCTATTCCAGGTGCCCGCCATCAGGCATGCATTCAGGACCGCAAGGATCCATCATCTATCCTGATGGCGGGAGGGCAGAAAAGCCTGATACTTTTACCTTACCCTACACCTGCCCGCTGTTCAGCCACGGCAGGTGCTCATGGGAGGGTCCAGCAGCTGGCCTGGTCCACTCTGTGCAGAGGTAAGCTATGGAAGTCCTGCCACTGCTTCTGCTTCCGCTTCCAGCACCTTCTCGGCTCTTTGGAAATGACCGGGAATTGGTTCTTAAGTCTCTTTGTCTGTCTGTGATTGGTGACAAGGATCTTCAGCTGGAAGTTGGCTTGTGGGGCAGGGGTGTGGGAAGGACTCTGCTGTGAGAGTCAGTTCGTGACTCCTTTCTTTTTAGTCGCCTGTAGGGTAAGGAAAAATGTCAGGCTTTTCTGCCCTCCCGCCATCAGGATAGATGATGGATCCTTGAGGTCCTGAATGCATGCCTGATGGCGGGCACCTGGAGCAGGGTGTGGGTATAGGTAGATGGGATTCACCTGGGCTAAGACTGGGCTTTTAAGGGCGGCGTCACGGGGACGCCAGCAGCAGCAGAAGCCGAAAGAGAAGCCGAGAGAGAAGCAGAGAAGAAGCAGCAGAAGCAGAGAACGCCAGAGAGCCCAGATAGAGTGAAGACTTGCTGGGGGCTGGGAGGCCTGCCAGCCTGCCAGCCCCCCAGAACCCTTGCCTGCTGTGTACCGGGTAAATCCTAATAAAAGACCTGCAAAAAAACCAGAGGACTCTGACTCCTCCTTTACCCGGTCTGCATGGGATCAGAAAACCTGCACTGTGCCCGTTCCTGTCTTTACATCGCCTTTGCTATCTCAACTGTTTACAAAGAATTCTCCACTTGGAGGTCCTGTTTGACCCAAAGCAGGTCCCATGGTGTCTTCCCAAAAATCCACCTGCCAGAGCCTCACAGAACATGTGGGCAGGCCGTGCTCCAAGTCTGAATTCAGGGCTCCCGTCTTCTGAATACAGAAACTGGGGTTTGATGTGAGAAATAGAACACTCTTCACCATGTGGTCCAGTGTTTTCTTTCTCTAAATTGTGGGGCTGCCTTCTGTGGCAAGTGATCCTGCAACTCAGCTTTGTTTCCACATCAAATATTTTAGATCTGCGCCAAAGGTCTTCATAAGACATTAAAGTTGACATGGAAAAAGAGCAATTCATTCACAAAGAGAGACTCCCCAAGCTTTAGAGATGTGCACATTAGCCAGTTCGTGTTCTGGGCTCACTTGCTATGACTTTTGTTCATGGAACAAGCAGAGTACAGTTTGTGGAGATGCTTACAAATATCACCTGGAACATTTGTGGTGCTAAGGTTTTTAATTTATTTCCGAAGGCCTGTGATTTCTAGAGGCAGGGAGCCAGAGGCATAAAATTGCTCCAAACTAGATTGTTATCAGGGCCTATTTGGAACTTGCTTTCCCAGCAAAGGAGTCAACAAGAATGAGTCAAATGTTTCCTGAATGGCCTCTGTGTGGAGGAGATGACTGGTTTCAGCAAGTTATTTGACTCAGAAGGTCAGAAAAGCTGGCTGTGTTTTTGAAGGTCACCAGTACGTGCTTTTTCTGTAGGAAATGTCTCAGGACTCAAGACGGGGGTTTTAGTATTGTATTCACAATGCCCACCTCATATCTCCTGAAGCCCAGGGATGCGGCCTGGTGCACAGGCTGAGTCTTTTCTCAAAGATTCAAATGACCTCAATCAAAATAAGCAACAAAACAAAAAATACCCCCCAAAATTCCTATTTGAATCTTAGAAAACATCTTCACAATGAGCTTAGTCTTTTCGTTTTTGCTAAAAGCAGCAGCTTTGTTTGGGTGTGCTCATGGCATTAGATGGCTCAGAGGGTTCTAGCCAAGAGGAAGCCCGCTGATGGGAAAGTGTAACCAGTCCTTGGTAACCATCACGTGTCAGGAAACTTGGACCCACTCAGTTCCAAGTTCTTGTCCTTGGCTCTTCTGGGTCAGTGTCTCTTGCTCAGGTAAATGTGTTCTGGCAATGCTGTCTGGCCACAGGGCTCTCTGGGGACGCCTGCCTGGGCCTGTGAAAGGCCCTGATGGAAGGTTCTTCTGCAGGTTGAACCTGTACCTGGGCCTGTGTGCAGGGAGGGCAGTTTGGTCCCTGTTCCCTTGAAGCTAATGCAGCCTGTACCTGGATTGGAATACAATTATTAGCAACCAGGGCAATGAATAACTGCAAGAAACTAACCTGCCACTGTCACCCCTCCTGTGAGAAGTAGAATAGCATTGACCTCTGTGTGGTTTTCAGTGTTAGGAAGATGTGGGTTGGGGGCCGGAAGGTGGAGGACTGGCAGTGTCAACTGGGACTCAGAGCAAGGATGCTTGGGGCACGGACATCACTTCAGGACACTGGTTTAGGCATCTGCTTTATGCCCAGCACAGTTCTGGCTTATTGTTAGTTATTAATTATTGTTAAATTTAAAGACTACCCTTCTCATTCTCAAAAGTGTCCTGCTTTGGAGGATATATGGTGTGGTCACCCAATCTTTGAGGTAATTAAGGTATGTATCCTAAGAATGTGTACAAAGATGTAACTTTAGGGGTGGTTATCATGCCACTACTAGACAAAAGGAAAAGTTATAGATAAGTTATATGTGTCCTAAAATAGAGGATTAACTAAGTCAGTTAAAAAAATAAGTTATAGTATATCCATAGAGTCGAATGCTGGATAGGCACTGAAAAATTAAACGTAGCAAAATAATAACATGGAAATATATGCACATTATTAAGGAAAATTACTTAAGTATATTTACATATATAGCAGCAAATATGGCATATATACTATATGTAATATATATTTATATATAATGTTATTCAACCTAGTTTGCAAAGAAAGAGATGCATTGAACGAAGAACTGGACAACTATATACTAAACTGTTGATGGTGGTTATCTCTGGAAAGTAGATTGGAAGTGACTTTTATATTCTACTGTATACTTTTTCTGTAGGAAATTTCCTACAATGAACATGTATGTTGTAGCCACAGATGTCCCTCTCATAATCGTCAGAATCTGTGAATATACTAGGTTATTTAGCAAGTGGAAATTAAGTTTGCAGATGGAATTAATGTTGTTAATCAGCTGACCCAGAGAAGGGGCATGTGGCTTGCCTAATCCAGGTGGACCCACTGTAGTCATCAGAGTCTTTACATGTGGAAGAGGAAGGTGGAAAATCTATGTTCTGGGAGACTCTCCACCAGCCGTTGCTGGCTTTGAAGGTGGAAGGGGGTGATAGCCCTGGAAGCCAGGGACCCTGAGAAGGTACAAGAGGCAAGAGAGTGGATTCTGCCCTAGAGCCTCCAAAAAGAACTCCTTTCCACACAACACCTTGATTTTAGCCCAGTCACAATCATTTGGGACAGCCGGGCTTATAGAACTGTAAGGTAAATTTGTGTTGTTTTAAGACAGTACATTTGTGGTAATTTGTTACAGCAGCAATAGGAAACTATTACAATGAACTTCATTTTTAAGTCAGAAAAAAGTGATGATGATAATAAAAGTCATTTTAAAAGAGAAGATTAGAAATCACTCCTTATAATTTAATCCAGCTGCTCTTCAAAGAGGAGCCCCGGCACGATCTTTTTCCTACCAAAAAATTTAGATGAGGAGCCTACAGTTGTTGTTCTGTAATTAGGATAAAATATCAATGTAAAGGATAAGTTAATAAGCAGACCAGCCAGCAGCCTGGGAAGTGCCCCACTGCGGGTACAGGTAATTTTACAAATGGAGCAAGAGAGGGAGCGTCAGTGAGCTGCTGCTTTTGAGATTTCTGGGACTAGGAAAGGAAACTGAACTTGAAGGAAAATCTGTTGAAGTGAGTGGAAACTTCCAGATTGTTCTGCTGGTTTGTGTTTGGCAAGTCTCTTGCTGGCACCAGTGCAAAGAAGAAGGCTAATGGGCACGGTCCACGGGGAGCTTGTCCAACCCCACCTAGGGGCAGGGAGCTGAGCATGTTTGCAATCTTTCCTATTCTGGACTGTTCATTGAAGCAACATGTTCAGAGGATTCTCTTAAATAAAATTCTTTCCTGTTTACTTTGAAGAAACTCTTAGGTAAACCACAGACCGGTAGCAAGGCTGCAGCAGATAAGATATCTGCAATGAAAACTATTTCTTTTTCTGTGCTAGTGGGCCTAAGTCACCTTCTCTGTGGTTTAATGTTTTGTATACTCCCCTTCTATAGCAGATGGGGCTCTCTAGAAGCAGCTGCTGAGTTTGGGGTACAGGACACTTACTAGGGTAAACACCTGCGAAGGGCAGGGACGGACATAGCGTTGGGCAGAGGGACGAAGAGTGGACCATGCTGTAATGGCGGCCTGAAAGAGCTGCCTCCCCAGCATACACAGCCCGTCAGACTTGGGCAGGACTCAGTGGCCAGAGTTGAGACACCCTTCCCATTATCAGCTGTGGG